AGTCAGCTTATGAACGAACGGCTTTCTGGCTGCTTTGGCGTCTGTTGGGTCGACTGGGCTGGCCGGCGGCCGTTGGTGAAAGCATCCGAGGTGAGTTGGTCTTAAACGCAACGCCTCTTTTTTGAGACGAGTTAACTCCAGCAATCCAAGTCAGAGACAGCCCTCAATTCAGGCTTCTTGTACCTGAACTCTGACACCGTCTCAACTCACAGGCGCAGTTTGCCCAACTCCGCCAGCCTCAACCTGGACACTTCAGCCTATCATTGTCGGCTGGCCCGGCCATACGACACCCTCCTCCACATGCGTGGCCCCCGCTGAAGGTACGGCGACAAAGAGAATGTCGATAACGCGGTTCGTCTGATTTGACCATCTCGACCACTCACGTATACAACCAACCTGTTTGGGTCGCCTCTTCCAAGATCAATCAAAGGTTTAGTGGACAAATCCATTCCCTCCAACTTCGCCTCCTTTCAAATCCGAAACCAACATTATCAATCTAAATCTAAGGTTAGGCACCTGCTCCAGCCTTGCTCGTAGAGCAACTGTTCAAGTCTGAGAGAGGCATGATTCTGCCATTCAGTAAAAAAGCGCAGGTAATAACGAGAAAAATTAAAGGGAATCTTATTCTTAAATTAGAATTAAGTAACCCCTAGGTTGCATAGGGTGATTTTAGGCCTGTTAATGGAATTTCTCCTAAAATGCTATGAATCGGCCTAACGATTTCATTCAAAATCCACCTTTATCAAAATGCTTTCTCATTCAGGTTGGAATTCAAATTCTAAATCACCTGCGTTTAATCTGTATCCCGACGAAGGGAACGGTGAGGAGGTTTTCGAGCATGCGATTTTTCCGATTTGGTAATCTTAACCATTAACCCAAAGAACCAGCTATCATACGTCCGACCCTTTGTCGTCTGGCTGGACAAAGTTCAGGCAGCAAACCTCATTCTGATATGAAGACCGAAATGTTATTGCCTCTATTTTGGTCGCAGTTTCTTTTCGATGCACAAAAGTTGTCTGACCTCGTTTTAGCAATTTGGCCGTGTTCGGTTGATGAGCTGTAGCTTGACGCTGACAATGACAATACTCATTGACGATGTCGACTGGACGTCTGAAAATGTATCAAGTCCACAGTCCGATGCTGGAAATTATGAAAACTACTATAGCAGGGGACTCGGATTGGCCACTTTTTGCTCCCTACAATTTTTAATGCAGCATAGCCTTGTTTTCACAACTTCTTTTCAATTACGGGGAGACTTCAAACAATTCGCCGATTCCTGCATCCCCTGCCGTAATGGCCATCCTCGGAAGTTACGCAGACATGAGGATGCAAGTCTAGACAATAAACAATCTACTTGTCAAAGTAGTAAGTTGTAGTATTTCTCCTAGCGATGTTTCATTATCTCTCGACTCAACTTCCTGTCGGCAATTTTACTATGACAATGGTTTAATTGACAAGCCGTATAAACAAAAGATTAGCGATTTGGCGGTGGGAGCATGCGAATTCACCTGCACTGGTATGCAAGCTTAACGAATCTAGCATAGTCACTCGATAGGTTACGCAAGTGATAAGAGCGGAGGAGGACATGAAGTAAAAGCGGTGATTTGGAAAAGCATATTCTCGAACATAACAGTATTCTTGTATTGTGTAAAGACACAAGCAAAGTATTTATCTATATATGAGATGTATTCACCCAATTTCATTTAAGGAGATGAAGGGCTAGTAGTTGAATTTTCCCACAATACCATGAGTGTACCTTGAGCTTCCATTGAACTTTACACATCCCTGCTTCCCGAAAGCTAGTATCATCCCTGCTGGAGTAAACTGCGGTTTCGACCTCGAGACTCGAACACCGATAGTGCAGCCAATAACCTCGACAGGTTAATCACTACGCTAAAATGCCACGTGTGCCTGTGAGTCACATGGTAGGTGTGAATTTTAAGGACGACCAGACCTTTTCTCATATTACATTCTGTGGGGGGATTGCCGATGTGGCAATCGACTATATTACTTATTTTTCGTTTATAAGTATACTTTAGAGA